AGTTTAAAAACTGAAATCGCGCCCGATAATTTTCGTTAAAATATTTCGCCTACTAAGCTAATATTATTTAACGTCTTAATTCGTAAAAAAAATTCCATCTGAAGCGCTAAATATTATTTACCTATCGTATGCAGTTTTTGAAATATACGCTATAAATTCGCTAGTGGGATAGGTAGAGCACGTTGAACCGAAGTTGGCCATTGACCGGACCATAAAGTTTTAGAGAACTTTACTACACGCTAACATAATAGTTGCGTCATCCATTACGCTGTGGTGAGGGGTGGTCACGTGCCAGTCATGTGACACGTCGGCTCACTTGTATGAAGAGGAACCCTTTTTGGATGATTTCGTTATACATAATGGCAACACTAAATTAAGTGTCATTCTATGTGGTATAAATGAGGCTGCACGGTCTTTATGGTCTTTCCAACCGACTTCAAAAAAGTAGGTGGTTCTCAATTCGACTGTATTTTATTTTTGTGTTTGTTAGCTCAGAACTTCCGACTGACCACCGATTCTGATTATTCTTATTTTTTTATTTGAAAGCTGGTGCTTCCCATGTGGTCGCATACCAATTTCATTGGTATTGGATCCTGGGCTCCGGAGATACTTAGGGAGCTGAAAAACAATTATAAAATAAATACAGAGCGAGATATTTGAAGTCTGTTTTTTTTACTAAAAATGCTTGTTTGGCTACAAAGAAGAAATAAATCGTTAGAGTACAGATTCTTTAGTTTAAAAGTGAAAGTAAGTAATTGCCAGTGTTATTATTGTACAAAGTAAATCTTCATTGATTCGATAAAAGTTATCTCGATTAAAACAAAGTAGAGCTGATATGCGTATTGAAAACACGCATCTTGTTAACTGCTTACATGTACAGAGCTAATCAGTTCGATTAAAATTAAACAAGTGCGAGTCAAACTCGCGCACGAATGGTTCCGTACTATTATCTATAAAAATGTCTGTTGACTAGGAGCCCCACTTAAATATTTTTATTCTGTTTTTTGATATGTTTTTGATATTTTTTTGTATACTATGAGCCGTATTAGCTCACTGTCCGGGCGCTCGCCTTTAATTTAATATACTCGAGCTACCTGAGTTCGATCCCCGGTGCCGGCACCAATGAAATTGTTAATTTCAAGTGCTGAATTATCACGTGCTCAGCGGTGAAGGAAAAAGCCGTGAGGAAACCTGCATATTTTCGAAATAATAACAAAAAAATATATTTCGAAGATATGTGAAGTCCGCCAATCCGTAGTGGGGCCGCGTGGTGGACTATGCCCTGATACCCTCTGTACAGAGGAGGCCTTTGCTCAGTAGTGGGACATGTATAGGCTGATACTTTACTATGTTTTTGTTATAGCGGCAACAGAAATATGTCATCTGAGAAAATTTCAACTTTCTCACTATCACGGTTCACGAGATACACGAGTGCCTGCATTAAAAAAGGGTACTGAACTATAATACTGATATAACATTAAATATTCTATTGCATATAGCTTATACATCAAAATAACACATTAAGTAAGCTATTGTTTAAAAATATATTATATGTATTATCTAAAATTATCAAGTTGTAGAAGAAAACTCTGCCGCCCGAAAAAAATTGTTGATTCCATTTGATCGCGTGGATGAAGTCGCAGTTGACAGCTAGTTATTATATGTTATTAATTATTTTTAAATTGAAAATAGTTATATTTAAATAATAATTATTAACAATAAATATATTTATTATCGCTAACTTAGTTTTCACTTGTAGCGGCAGTCTCCCAAGGCTACCCGTGTGTTCTTTTTAGGAATAGTAAAATGGTACAAAAAGCTTTCTCCACATAAAACAAGCGTATTATTTTGACGTGCGTGCGCGCAGTTATAATTAGTTTACGCACTGTCTGTATCGCCCCTTATTTACGTGTCGACGAGGGGACGCGTTTCGCAACCCTGCTTAGCGTAAGAGCCGACAAATAAATTTCGAAGCATTCCATATTTTTTATTCGTTTTTCTACATATATTTGCGCACCTAACTTTGCGCGGGCTGTAAGTGTGCGTAAAATGTGATGATGTTAATCGTAACAAGTACATAATCAAGTGAAGTTCTATTCGAAGACGCATGCTTCGGATAGTATCGACCCTGATACGAGACTACGTCTAACTTTAAATATTTTACGGATTTTATCGCGATTTTTAGATAGATAATTTTGATTTTTAATTCCCCACGTTTCGCAGGTTGGATTCGTAAAATAGTTTAACTTAATGCGTTTAATATTCGCGTTGACTAACGGAACTGGCTAACTATTAATAAAAATATTCACCCAAATATGTTGAGCTTGCTGCTTTATTAGAGTGTAACACAAGTTATTAAAAGATTAACTATAATAACAAAAGATTAGAAACTTCAAAAACGTTATGAAACTTAAATATGTTTATATTATCGGAATAAAAAGGTCAAACTCTTTGACTATCGCGTCAGGGGTGTGCCAACCCTTCATTTGCATTGTAAAACGAGGGCTACTTTCTTTTCATACTTTCCATTTTGTTCAGAATTCTCTATTGCATCGCACGAAGCTATCAAATCGCCTGTTTGAGCCGAAAGTAAAGCAACTATTGCTAGTTGTCTGTCTGCATGCGTGTTTGATCGATGGGGTCAGACCGAAGTCCCTTTGTTGGGGAACAGATTGTGCTACAGATAGCTGTAACGTCTGTTACTTATTGTTAGACTCCTACTTTTATTGGCGCAACATCCACTTTGAATCGACGGCAAGAGCGATACTGAATGCTAGTATTAAAATGGCTCTTATACATTAAAATTTGTAGAAAAAATGAACAAAAAGTTTTTCGACGCTGTGGAAATCGAACCCACGTCTTCGGGATACGCGCCCTGACTGGCTCTTATAATTTAACTAACGATCCGCCCCGACTACGCGCGGGAGCAATGTAGATTTTTTTATAGATTCTTTTGAGATATACTATTCTGTAGTACATTAAGTTTTATCTGTTTCGTGAGGTTAAGCCAGCGTTTGCAATGTAAGCGCACAAAAATATTTTTCTTACTATAAAACATTACAAATGTTTGAATTTTTCAGCTTTGATCTACTTTAATATGCATGATACATATAAACCTTCCCCTTGAATCACTCTATCTATTGGCGAAAACTGTATTCCGATGCGTAGTTTTAAAGATTTAAGCGTACAAACATCGGGAGCAACTTTGTTTTATATTATGCATATATAAAGTTTGTACCTTGATATTTTGGTAGTATGTTACGCTATAAAATAACACATTAGAAAATATATAACATTCCTCCTCTTTTGTAATGACATTACTAAGAAACAAAAAACTAATTACCGATATCTTAAAGTTTATCTGCTCTTATCTTCTAATATTAAAATACATAAATGTTATATTTTTAATAATTATGACCGACTCGGTGGCTCAGTTACTGAGCTTAGGCTTAGGGGCCGGGCATCACGAGTTCGATCCCACGCGAGACAAATATCTATGTGTTACCCATAGGTAATTGTTCTGCATTGGGTTGTCATTTGTAAGGAATATTGACGATTGGCGGCTGGTGGTAAAAAACCTAGCTAATACCATTAACAACATGATTGGCAAGATGTTTCGATCCCACTTTAGGTGGGATTGGGGCTGTGGAAGATTATTAGCAGTGTTATTGTGCAAGGAGCATTCTCTGTGTATAATATCACCGTTCGTTTTAATGTTTAAATCTTTGTTTATAAGTTCTTCACTTAATCTTATACCTAACTAGCGGACCGCCCCGCGTTCTCACGGGTTTAATTTATTGTACATATAAACCTTCCTCTTGAATCACTCTATCTAGTAAAAAAAAACCGCATCAATATCCGTTGCGTCGTTATAAAGGTCTAACCATACATAGGGACAGACAGACAGCGGGACAACTTTGTTTTATACTATGTAGTGATGGTCCAGTGTCCGATATGTTAACTTCGGATTCGGTTTTCGTTTTTACGGGCGACATTTATTTATTTAATCTCCATTGTTACACCTTAAGCACAGGGCTACAATGGGTGGACTTTATGCCTATTGGTATTCTCTACCAGTCAACCCTCTGAAATCAATATTCATGGGTATATATAAAAATAGAGTATATATATGTAAATAATGTAAGGTATGTACATATATGCATGGTAAAAACCAAAAATGGGATAAACCAAATAAAATGAAAGACTTAGTAGATAGTCTCGAATTAATTTTTTAAACGTATATTTATTTGGAGCTGTTTTGATCGTATTGGAAAGGGCGTTCCAGAGGATTGTAGTTTGAATGGTAAAAGAAGAGTTAAAGTATCTTATATTATGTTGCGGAATGCGAATTTTATGTTATCTTTGTTAATGGAACGGGATACTCCGTCAGGAGCAGTTTTCTGTTTTCAGTTTCAAGAATTTAAAAGTAATTACAGAACTAAGTAAGTAATTAAGAATAAAAAGTCAGTCAGTTTTGTTTTCATATATTGACACAAGATGAAAGCGATCATACTAAGAATGAATGAATGAATGAATTTCCACATTAACAAGAAATTTGTTATATTTAACTTATATGAGCCATATGAATTTCCCTTCAATATTATTTTCTAAAAAATTATTAGTCAATATTTGAAGAAAAAAATACAAAAAAGTGTATTGATTCTATATTAAGAGCCGAAACTAAGTCATAACGTGAATGCACTTTTGGCAAGCATTGCTTCCTTGTGGCCAATAGCACAAAACAACCACATGTTATTAGATTGCCGAATGAAATTCAACTTAATTCAGACGCAATTAAGTGCAATTTCGCCTTCACACGACGTGAGATGACATTTCGAGAAAATTACACATGAATATTTCAGACCAGAATAAACGCATGCGTCGAAATCGGTCAGACGGTCTCTGTATTTAGCTTAGTACAGTCGTATCGTCATCATCGCATTGTTCAGTGTAAATTGCAATTGTTTCCGCACAATTATTGAAATTCGAAAGTGACGAAAATGAACTCGAAAAAACATAAAAACAAAAACCGTGCTAAGGTGAATCCGACGCCAGTGCAAAAGCAAGATATCGCTGAAATCGCCAAAATTGAGGATATATTACCGGTAAAAGATCCGGAACCAGAGGTCAATAATGAAGAAATAGTACCAGTGAAGGGAGAAGTTAAGAAAACTCTGGATACTTCAAACGAAGAAAATTTGCAGGAGCTTAAGGAATCTCTTACTGAATCTTTGATTGGTGACTCACCAGTCAAACCCAAGAGACTTAAGGGTAAGAAAAAAAAACATAATGTTACCCTCGAAAGCGATCAAGATAACAAGGTGGATAATAAACAGGAGGACAAAGTCAGTCAGAACGTCCAAGAGATTTCTGAAATTAATTTACCTGATAACACTACTCAAGAGCTTTCGGATGTCCAACCATGTGCGCGAAAGAAGAAAAATAAAACTAAAAGACAAACTCCGACCACAAACGAGGACATCATAGAAAGCAAGTTTGATGCAGAGGCCAGAATCAACATGGACGATACTGAAGAGAAAAGAAAAGACACAGCTGAAGCTGAAGGGAACGTTTCAAAGAAAAAGAATAAAAAGAAAAAGCGTAGGCTTGATTCTGAAAAATCTGACAAGGTAGAAGAACAAATGTCATGTACGGCGGCTTTCAAGGAATTAGTTGATGCACAAAATGATAAAAATGTTTTAATTGACGCAATAGAAGATGTGAAGGAACATGCTATTGAAAATGCAGAAAATATAGAAATAACTTCAAAGGTTGAAGATTTTTCTGAGCAGGATGTAGCTAAAAGCGAAGATTTCAAAGTACAAAAGAAAAAAAAGAAAGAAAAGAAGTATCCTCTTAAGGCCAAAGAGGATAGTAACTATAGCGAAAATAAAGTTGATCAAAAAGGTGCTGAAAGTTGTGATGTTATTCAACCCACGATGACAGTACGAAAACAAGACAGTACGAAAGGTGATGAAGTTCCTAACAAACTTTTTGAGCAAACAGGGCACATAACAGAAAAACCATTACAAGGAGTTGTGGCTGCGGAAATAGGACCAAAAGATATTCTGGAACGTACAGAGTCAATGTGTGAAAACTTAGAGGTTAGTAATAAGTTAGTGAAAACAAGTGATGACTCTTCTCTAGTTCCTAAAGACTCTATGCAAAATCTAAATGCTACGCCGCTACTGTCGGAAACAGGAAGACTAAACGAAATTCCAGTACATGATATCTCCAAAGAAAAAAATATTTATAGTACCAGCTCAAGTAAAACAGAAGAAAACGTAGTTATTAATGAGAAAGACAAAGAATCTGCGAATATTTTAGTGAATGTTGAAGAAATGTCAGAAAAAGATCAATTAAATGCAACAGAACATAGCACAAAACTTGCCAGCTTATCCGGACCACCAGATAAAGCACAAATTCCTAAAAGTGTGACTGATGACTTTAGTCAACAAGATAAGAAAAATGATGATACCTTACAAGAAGAAATTTCTGAAGGGAAAACTGAAGAATCAATTGATACAAAAGAGTTTTGTGATCATACTCCTGATTTTATCCACATACCACGTTCAAGCAGTCATCAACTTTTGGATGATAATAACAATAACACGCGTATTCAAGAAATAACAGGAAACGACGAACTAAAACTTGGTATTCCTGTTTTGACATCTAGCATTATACAAGGCTCTGGTGAAACGCCTGTATCAACGCCGAAAGTCATGGCGACTGGTATTAGCGTAACGGAAATAGAAAGTATACCGAACAGAAATCAAGAAAAAACCGATCTAAAATCGAAAATGATGGAGGTGAATCAGGATCTAGAGGAATTAAAAATGTCTTTGGAAAAATCTTTAGCCGGTTTGAACGTCTTAGAAAAGAGTGAGCAAAGTTTCAACGAAAATAGATCAGGTGAGAATAATGTTACAAAAACTGGAGACGCTAGCAAGACCACAAACAATTCGAAGGACGGAGGCAAAATTTATAAACCTTTAGCAGATCGATTGAACGAAATTGAAAATAAATTTGCCCCAACAGATTTAAAACTTTCCGAAGATACTTTTGAACACCAACCAAATACTGAACAATTTTCAGCATCTTCGGATATTGAAACACCGCCCGTTTGTCCATCGCGTAAAGATCGTAAAGGCAAAAGCAAGGCTAAAAAGAGGGGAAGGAGAGAGCCCGAACCATATACAACGCAAGCAACTAGCGTTAGTTGTGAAACGAAACAAGAATCTAATACTGAGAAGCAGCAAGAAACTGAACAAAAGACAAAAGACTGTGAAGGAAAAGACAAAAAGCAAGCCTGTAGTGACAATGAAAATACCAAGCAGCTATCGTCAGAGTTGCAATTTGAACCAATTGAAAATTTCGAAGATGCTCTGTCATCTAGTCCGGATGACGTGGACATAAATAAAACTTTCGAAATCATTGCAAAGGAATTAGACAAGCGCCCCCAAAACGACCAAAATCTTAAAGATTCAGTTCATGTATACCCATCAGAAATAGAAATTAATATAACACCTCCGGCAGAAGACGGTGAAAAGGAGAAAGAGGATAAAAACGTCAATCACGCGTCGCAGCCAAAAAACTTATTAGGCCGCCCCAACATTCCTGTGTCATCGAGTAAGACCGATTACAAAAAAGAGAAGAATAAAACGACTACTTTTAAACAAGCAAAGGTGAAAATAAAAGACTCCGTTGACATAGAAACAGATCATATCTCAGAAAAGAAATCTAAACAGTCTCAGACAGATAACAAATTGAAAATTGGAAAGGACAAAAATGAAATAGATTCATATTTATATGTTACAAATGAGAAAGAGGAATATGTATATAAATACAGTTTTCGGAAAGTATTTCTGACTAGTGTTTGTCACGTTTGCAGAAAGGACTTGAAACAATCACGAGTGCCTTGCAAGTTTTGTAATCTGGTTTTTTATTGTAATCAAAAACACAAAGATGAGGACTGGCCGAGGCATCAAACTTTATGTTTTGCTGTTTCTACAATAGTGCATTTAAAAGGTTAATATTAATTTTAAGTAGACTTTTTGGTAAATTTTGCGTGCGCTTTTCATATCCTTTGTGAGGCAAATACAATTATGTAACATTTATGTTTTAATTTCACTAGCATAAGTGACATCTCTCGTTTTCTACTGTAAAATAGTACTAAGTGGCGGCAAGCATTGACTGAAAATTAAAAAAAGGCAAAGTAGATTGCGATTATGAGATGTCGAGATTTTCAGGCCGTGAGGTTATCGGTTGCATAGGTTACTTGGTAAAGCGTTTGGGTGCGTTATTTGAGAGACGTAGGTTTTTATGTAAGATATATATATATATAAGTAAAAAGTAATATCCTCATCATCATCATCATTTAAGCCTGTTTGAGTCCATTGCTGAACATAATCCCCCACAGACTGCCACGAAGTACGATCCTGAGCATCCATCGACTTCCCGCACATTTGCACAGGTCGTCACTCGATCTAGTGGCCTGTCGTCCCACAGATTGTAATGTGTAAGATTAGCGAAAAAAATTAAATACAAAAAAAAATTTCAGATCAAAAACATATCTACGCTGACGCAAAAAACATCTCCGGCCAAAACTATCGACTGATAAGGATGCAGATGATTCTATCGTGCGAGAAAATGTTGAAAAGGAAGCTCTGGCCTTGGGAACAGGAGGCGCTACTTTATCCGAGGATGTGCGCCGACGTGCGATGCAGGGAATGGAAACAGTCGAAGTTGACGGATTGCGAGGGGTGCGGCCAGGTAAGTCGTGAATTAGTACACGGTAACGTAGGTAACGTACGCATTTATTTATTTATTTGGGAAACAAACAGTATACATAACACTTGTAATTATTATAAATAACTTGTACAGACACCGGTTAAGTTTAATCTAATAGTAAAATGATAAATGAACAGAAAATATAAAGTTAAATTAAATGTATAGCAAGGTGGCTAGCACGATAGTAGAACAAGTTAAAAGTTGGGACGATTAGAATAGTTACTGAGCTGTATTTACTTTTGAAGTAAAACTTCTGTAAATTATTGTTATATAAATAATTAAGTTATTTATTTATTTATTTATTTATAGGACACCAGCAGTACATGCATTTCACGTTTAAACAATAAGATTACAAAAAAACATTCTGATGTATGTACCTTTTTAGATGACACAGCATTGTTTCAGCTAAATACAAGAATAATCGAGACAATTAATGCAAAAATATTTAACAGCAAATAATTTCCGTAAAGTATTTGGAGGAGCTCAGCACAATGCTCGAAGACCTCAATAGAGTCTCCCAGCGGGTGGGGCTGAAAATGAACATGGAAAAGACCAAAGTCATGTCAAATGTCCATGTGACGCCCACCCCCGTATTGTTGGGAGGCTCGCCACTCGAAGTTGTTGATAGCTATGTCTATCTGGGACAAATGGTCCAACAAGGCAATTCCAACTTCGAGAAAGAGGTCAATCGACGAATCCAGCTCGGCTGGGCTGCGTTCGGGAAATTGCGCAGCGTCTTTACGTCCAAAATACCACAGTCCTTAAAGACGAAAATCTTTAACCAGTGCGTGCTACCAGCGATGACCTACGGTGCCGCTATGGAAAGGGTAATGCTTGGGGTTTCTCTACAAGATCGAATCAGAAATGAGGAGTCAGCAGGCTGAAGTGGCAGTGGGCAGGGCACATACCTCGAAGAACCGATGGCCGTTGGGGCAAAAAGGTTCTCGAGTGGAGACCACGGGACGTCCTAGGAAGGCCTCCCACAGAGGTGGACGGACGACCTAGCCAAGACCGCAGGGACGCGTTGGATGCAGGCCGCTAACGACCGGTCGAAGTGGAAGTCAATGGGGGAGGCCTATGTTCAGCAGTGGACGTCCTACGGCTGATATGATGATGATGATGAATTTCAGTAAAATTAAGGGAAAAAAAATTTAAGAATTACAAGCAAAAATTCAAATAGAAAATAAATTTAAATTAAATTAATAATATTTAAAAAAAATCGACATTAATTAAAACTTATAAAATACTAATAAATTTCATTATTACAATACAAAAAAACAGAATGAATACAATAATCTAAATTAAAAACGAATTGTCTGATTAATAATAAAAACATTAGCGGACATGACTCAGTATTAATTTCTTGAATTTTTAAAATTTAAATGGAATAAATCCATTCTGGGTAGTTCTTCACAGATGGCATTGTAAGAATTACAGAAACGCGTAACGGGAGCATGCAATAATGCATGCAAGTTACATAACATATATGTAGTATGCATGCATATTATAGTAGAGGAAAGCCAAGAAATTTAATATGTACATTGCACCCGTGCGAACCCCGGGCGGTTCGCTAGTTTACAATAATTAATATGTTAAACAATTTAAATTGAAGTATTAAAGATTTTATTGTGTCAAAGATTTTTTTTAGTTTCGTGTTTTTCTTACCGATAAATGCATTATTATCGGCCACATGTGTAATGGCATTCACAAAGGTCATTGAGTCATTGCGATTTGAAATGCAGCAGATGTGGGCTGATGCTAATAACAGCTGACTGATTTTAGATTCCCAAAAATACTTCATTATTGAGTCATTCTATAAATTTGTTCTTAGCATCTCACTTTTTATTCACTCTTATATAACAACGAGATTTATCGAATGAAGAGTCGATAAGTAGAATAAATACAGACGTAATAATTGTATCACAGTTACTTACATAAAATCATGTTTTTTTTGAAAACTTAATTGACCTACCATATCGGCTGTTGGTTTCAGTTTATTTTTTTTTAAATAATAAAATATCTTTATTCACATAGACGCTTGCGCGTTCTTATGAAACGTCAAAATTTTACAAGAAATGAACACGTTCGTAAGTTACCACCGGTTCGGAAGGCAGTTTCTGTTGAGAAGAAACCGGCAAGAAACTCAACAGTTGCTCTTTTTTAAAAAAAATCAGTTTACAATATAATAGTACATGTACAATAGTCTTGTTTTAGCCTACGTGAGTATCAACAGTATTAACCCCACACATTGGCGTCGTCAAGATATTCAGCAATAGAATAATAGGCTTTAGCCATAAGTTTACTTTTAATTTTTCGTTTAAATTCATCAAGTGGCAGACTTAATATCGACTGTGGGATTTTATTATACATGCGCACACCTTGCCCCATGAACGACCTGTTTACTTTTTGTAAACGAAACAATGGCGTAGTTAGTTTGTCCTTATTTCTAGTATTTAGTTTATGTCTGTCACTATTCTTTAGATAACTATTAATATTATTTTTTAACATACAAAATATTACAATAAATATATTGAGACGCAACAGTGAGTATATTAATCTCTTTAAAAAGGTCTCTGAGTGGAATTCAATACGTTAGACTTCTTTAATAGCCTCCGTGGAACTCTTGTATAATATGTTGGGCCTAGTATTGCACTATAAATAATATATAGCATTAAATATTTTGAAAATATACTTTCATATCAGAAATAATTCTATAGGTTACAAAATAATTAGGGTCAGACATCAACAATGTATTTTAACACTAGCATGTTTTCTTGATCCCACTGTAATAATTACTACTATGTACTACTATGTACTGCTATGTATAATACTAACATGTTCTCTTGATGCCACTGTACTAATGAGTACCTGGAGGACCTAGAGAGCTTTGCTGGGTTTTTCTTGGTAAATCGTGTATTTTGAAAATAAAAAAAAATAAGGAAAGCAATGATCTGGTATAGAAAAAAAGTAAAACAATAAGTGTGTAATAAAATAATGATCATGACACGAACCGCGGCCTTCTGTTTCGGGGCCGCCCGATTACCGACCGTAGCTATTATAACATTTTTTTTTTCGGTGAAATTTACAGACATATTCGAATGATATTTTTCATTCCCTGAAGGACATTTTCTAAAAATGAAACCTAGCTAGATCGATTTTTCGTCCCCGAAGCTACGCACATACAAAATTTCATGAAAATCGCTGGAGCCGTTTCCGAGATTCCGATTATATATATACAAAAATTGCTCGTTTAAAGGTATTAGATAACAGATAGTTCGAAACGCAGATGAGTCGGTGGCGCCGTTCCTTAGCTATTTGCTTCTTCTTCGGCGGTCGTGGGTTCGATTCCCACACGGGACAAGTGTTTATGTGATCCATAGATGATAATTGTATAACACTTCCACTAAACGCCGGTATTTTGTGAGGTCGTGGTACTTACCCGGACGGACATGCCCATTCGTGCAACAGAGAACTGTTGCGTAGCTCCACCACGGTTAAAAGTCAGTTGTTTTTTTAAATAATTCTCAGGTGTCATTCTGCAATGAACACCCAGACCATTTGCCGCTGAGCCACCATCGATGGTGCAAGTCGTATGCGCTGTACCAGAAGCTGGTACTGTACCAGCAGTCGAACGGCAGGCTGGAGCCGAAGCTGCCGCGAATGGTGATGGTGGGAAGCTTCGTGGTCCCGGATAAGATTAACGAAGTACTCGCTACGATGTATGAAGAGAAAATTGGTAAGTGTTAGACGGCTTTGGGGTTCGTGGTACCATCTCAATCATCATCATCAGTCGGAAGACGTTGTTGAACAAAGCCCTACCCTTTGGAACCATCGACAGCATCATCACCTAAAATACATCCACTGTTGAATGAAGGCCTCTCCCTTATGACGCCACAGCGAACTTCTATATCATTTGCATCCACCGGTTGCCAACGTCTCTTACGATATCTGCCTTCAACCTATTGGGAGTTATTCCAAGGCTTACTTCTTCCGTTTCGTGGTCATCACCCGAGAACTTTTATTCCCCATTGGTCATCAGTTCTTCGAGTGGCCTGGCCACTGCCATTTCAATTTGCAAATCCTGAGAGCTATGTTTTTGGCCCTGGTATTTCGGAGAATTTCCCCGTCCCGGATTTTATCATGCAAAGAAACTCCGAGCATAGCTCTCTTCATTGCATGTTGGGTGACTCTGAGCTTCTTTATAAGCCAGCTTTTAAAGTCCACGTCTTAGTACCACACGACATCACTGGCAGAATAAACTGGCTATACATCACTGTCTTCAGTTAATGCGAAGTCTTGGACGAGAAGATATTGCGTAATATCCCGAACGCTTCCAAGTCGGATTCATCGAGCGGCCTCTTTCTCAAAATTGGAAGCAAATTAACATTAATTTAATTATAAGTGCTTCTGCACATATTCTCATTTTCTGATAAATACATACAAAAATAAGTAATAGTTTTTTATGCTTCGTTATTTGGAAAAGCCTTTTCTGTAAATATATATTTTGTAATTTGCTGATGGAGGTACATATCTAAATAAACTTAATGTTCCTAACATATCCAAATGTTCCTTCACGGCGGGAAGTGTTCACAATTTCTCAGTATATTTAATTAATTTCATAATTATGCACAAAGCGATAGCATTTATTGAAATACCCACAATTTAATCCGGCCTCAAGTTGGACTGAATTAAGTCTTCGCTCTGATATTTTCAAAATTCCCAAGAATAATTTTATCTTCACTTGAAGAATTTTATCGTCTAGATCCACTATGACGTTCGAGTTTATTTAATGTTCCAAGTTGCCATCTTAGCATGAGAACTATTTCAGATGAATTTGACCGCCTGTCAGTTGTATATGTAATAGAATCTTCCATGGTTGAAAGTTCTTTATTATCATCAGATATGTCGGATATCCAGTATGCTGCGCTGACTCAAGTGGCAACCGCCCCCTTGACCACCGCTTACTGCTATCAAATCTACCGTCAATTAGTCAGCTGCACTAACGGTTTATGTAAGGTGAGTTAGAAATCTGTGGTTCATGATGTGACATTTACGAATTTTTATGTGTGACATTTATGAGTATTCTGTTTAAAATATTTTTTAACAAAAAAAGCAGACTTCAAATCGGAAACAAAAAAAAAACATTGTTAATGCATATAATCTCTAGGATACCATCATCAGATCCGGGTTTCCTTATCCACCACCCTTGGGATATCTCCTTTCCTAAAAAAAAGAATCATCAAAATTGGTTCATAAAGGACGAAGTTATCCGCGAACACGCATAAAAAAAATCTACTGTCGAATTGAGAAACCTTCGTAAAAACCTTCTCCTTTTTTCTAGTCAGTTAATAACAAATTATTGCAAAGTTTCAGCGTAAAACATAGCTTGATTAACTGTTCTCAGAAGCCGACCTTCACCGTACACTTTGTCGGAGCGGAGTTGCAGTTCGAAGCAGACTCGCTGAACAAGTGGGAAGTGTTTCTTCTCCATATCAAGCCTGAAGTTAAGGATCTTCATGTAGCCCTCATAGGAGTCGATCTGAACCCCTCAAATTTACCACTACACTTGCTGGGAAAGATCAAGTGAGTGAGAAATCAAAATTGCTCGTGGTTCGTTCTAAAATGGTTACATTCCAATCTTTTTGATAGACGTCGAAACGCAGTCGTGAAACATAATCCTAGATTTGTTTGGTTGTCGTTGACTTCACTTCCTATGCATAGAGTGGTTTAAAATGTTTGCTTTAATATAAATATATCGTTTTCATCATAATCTATCATCAGCCTGCATCATCGCGTTAAACATAACGAGATGAAATCATTCTCTTCGCAGACTCTGCGACAATTGCCGCGAAAGCAAGCGCCGGGTGCATTTCAGTTTCCAGGACAAGATGACCTACCGCGACTTCTGGGCAAGTGACGAATTCACAGTGCCCGATATAGGTATTTTTTTTTCTATTTGCCAAAAGTATTTGTTAAGACATGACATATTATAACATTTACTCTCAAGCGGGACACACACGAAGCAAGTTGCATAATGTGGCGCTGGATTTCATCATTAGTGCTCGATTCTCGGCAGCTTTGTTGATAGAGCCGTGACAGCTCAGTGTCCGGGCGCTCGCCTTTAATTCAATATACTCGAGCAACCTGAGTTTAACTTTAACTTTAAGTGCTGACTTACCACGTGCTCCGCGTTGAAGGAAAACATCGTGAGGAAATCGGCATATTTTCGAAGTAATAACAAAAAAAAAACATATTTTGAAGATATGTAAAGTCCGCAAATCCGCAGTGGGGCCGCGTGGTGGATTATGCTCTGATACACTCTGTATAGAGGAGGCCTTTGCCCAGCATTGGGACATGTATAGGCTGTTACTTTACTTTACTTTTGTTGCGTAGTTTCGTTCAATACCCATTGAGTAGCAAACATAATAAGGTCAAAACTACATATAAATTTTATTAATGAAAAAGAAACTATATTGTACATTTTCAAGTGTAATCCTCTTTCTCTTGCTTACCTGTTTAACATTTCTTTTGCTTTCTTCTGCACGCTCGAATGTTTATTCAGTTTTACTATGATTTTTACTATGTGGCAAGCGAGCGGGCGGTTCACTTGATGGCAAGCGATAACCTCCACCCATGGACATTTTAATAAAGTGGGCCCCGGCTACCTCACTCACCAGACGAAACGCAGAAGTGTAACTTCTTCAACTTCCACTTCACGCTGGTCTTCTGTGAGATTGTGGTACTTACTCGGATAGACCAGCGCATTCGTTAAACAGAGAAGACCCTACCACAGTTTGGTGGTCCAATTGACTCTCATTGGAATCCCGCTACAAATCTAGTATGAAAAACAGCGTATTGTCTCAGATCTTACTCTTAGTAGAGCAAGGTCACCTATTTATTATTCATTTTAAAAAAAAGAAAATATTTTAGGACACATTTTTACACAACGTTCTCTAGTCCCAAACTGAGCAAAGCTTGTACTATGGGTGCTAGATCAGCACGCTTAAATGTTTTAATCAGTATTTCTATGATGTCATTTTCAATTAATTTTTGTCCTAAATCATCTATCTCTGTATTCTTTCCCAGTTTGCGCGTTCAATGCTGGCGTGCACAGATCTTTAATGTACCATGGAAGCGACGTCTGGTCATCAACAATCAACTGTGTACTGAAACAGAAGGTCCCGTTTCTGATAACCGCCTACACTCTAGAAGAACTGATGAGGGATCTGGAGTGCGCTAAGAGCTATGCAGAAGTTGACTACAAGCTGATATCGGAGCCAAGGCTCAACCCGTTCGCGAGCGTACGACCAGATCGGAATTTCATAACTGATGAAGAAACGCCCCTCATTTTCAAGAATTACTGCTTTTCTGTTTTGTGTGGTATCTAGCTGTTCGGCTGTTGAATATTTCGTGTGTGTCCTTTAATTTCGTAAGATTAATAATGTTTACCTCTTCTCCACCAAGAGCTGTGTTGTCCATAAACTAAAATTCGCCTTTATTAAATATTAAACTTTCATTACCTTCTTATAGAAATGGATCGATTTTACAATAAAAGTTATGTGTAGTTAAGACTATTTATTATTACTGTTTTATCCAGCATCGACCGTTTAGTAGTAATTTAGAAGAGAAATAGAAATTGAATATAGAAGAATAATAGAAATCAATCAAGCAGGGAAAAACTGAGATAATATGACATATAAACCTGGAAAAGGCCACCAGAACTTTGAGTATTTCTGAGGAAAATCAGTCGAATTTCAAAATAGATACAGGATTTATCAGCAAGAAAAGACAAAAGAAATCAAACATACAATTTTATTTGTACTATACATGTCTAAAACATAAAATTCACATTTATTCGTCTATATTTAACACAATATCACAGATAAAACGGTCAGCGTATCAACTTTTATTTTAAGAACAGTAATTAATTAAACCTAATGAACAATTTTATATATACTAAATATATGAACCTGTATATTAATAAATTCTTGGTTCCATTAGCACTGCTGCTTGCAGCAACCTACGCAGAGAAATGTAATAAATTACTCACAACGTCAGGGGAATTTTATATCATTAAACAAGCAACATTCAAACCGTACCATAAACAAACAAACATCGCGATAGAATGATCATTATTTCGTTATTTTCGGAGATTTTCAAATTAATTATGAGATTTTTTTCAATATTTTACAAATAAAGTTCTGTTATCATATGTTACATAATTATACTGCATTAAAATATGTAGAAAAAGTGCGAAAAGATTGTCGCCGTTGTGGGAATCGAACCCACGTCTTCGGCATTCGCGGCCTGCATTGTTTAAGTCTGCGTAAATCAGAAAAAGCGGGAAAATTTGACACGATTACCAGATAAGATTATCCAGAAAAGTTAATTCTATCTTCAGATTTTAGCGTGGAAAACTGGTTGTAAACAAAAATGTAATGTTTATTTGTCTATGACCCAAATCTATTGTTAATTCGGCCGCAAATTAGGCCTTTGTACGTGCTGTGAGTTTCGTTACTTACTTCTCTGTGCTCTTCTTAGAATGCAATGAAATGGCATCATGCGAAACATCCTTAAGACTAAGGCTAGAAGGAAAGTTCGTATCTAGTACAAGCATGATAACTGAGAAACTTGCGAGAAATAAATCAACGCAGACCGTAGATAGGCAAAAAAAATTGGCAGAAAGAATTGGTTTTATTGGTTTTCTAACAAGGGATTTTTAAAACAATAAGTTTGAAGCCTGAGTTTAGCAAGATTAAGGTCTCCTAATTAAAAAAAAAAACAATCTGTCTATGGTGACAGATTTGTTACTTGTCAAGTTAATATTTTAAAAGACGAGGAAGAAAAGTATTATTAATGATTGTTACTTTTTGCGACATTATAATGTATGATAAATATTCATATATCATTTTAATGTCTATTATATAATCATACAGACTAGGACAACTAGATTCAAAAAACATAGTGAAACTCACGAATCAACTGGGGTTTGAACCCCCGATTTCAGTATTGATTTTATATTATTTTAGACTTTATTCCACAGCTTGAGATTTATTATGGAACTCTACAGTGTGTATGTAGTCCAAACATTATTTATCATTCGGCAGACAATTGCATGCGTCAACTTTAATGCGAACGAATTAATTTAATACGGTGGAATGAGGCGTTACGAAATATCCTCTTCTTGGCAAGAGTTCCGTATGTGACACGAGACAAAAGCAATTAAATTTAATACATTTACATTACACTCCTAAACCATTAAGTGATCAATAAATCCAGTGTCCCGTATTCGAGGCCTGCTCGGCGATAATCTTATCACCTATCGCTTTTAATATCATCGATGTTAATGTGTGGGGATTTGAACTATAGTTAGTGCAATAAATAACGCGAGTTGCGTCGCGGTCAGCGACAGCCTTTTGCGATCGTTAACTTCACGACATTAAGGAGTAAAGGATAAAGTTCAAATACCGAACCCGATCCAAAAAGATGTGTCAAGTATATATGTGATATGTGACCATATGTGATCAATCCAATCTTTTTACCTGAACACTGAAGTAGGGTACTTAATGTTTTATTAAAAATATGAGCAGTACTCCGCGATAAATATTGCACATATACATTTATGCTTTTTAGAGCGCTATCTCTGTCACACACTACGTTCTTGACGTTTGTCAGTCGACGTGCAAGTGTGCGAAAGAGATAACGCTCTACAAAGTTTAAATTAGTAGACTGCCTATTTCCAAAGGTCGACTGCTAAATCTATCGTTGAGTAATGTATTTGTAGTTCATTAGAAAGCTCTATAAATTAAGCCTTTTGATAGATTTCAACATATCGGATGTCATTATATTCGTCCCAGTTTTGAGGGTAATAACATAATATATATTACAGTGACATAATATGTGACGTTTGTCAGTCGACGTGCGATTGTGCGAAAGAGATAACGCTCTACGTTGCAGCAGTAGTAGTAATGTTAGTAGACTGTCTCTTTTCAAAGTACGATTGCAATATTTATCGCCGAGTACTAATTCTTTGGCACGATCTTCAGCCTAATGTCTTTGACATATTTTAACGTATGGGGTAACGTATGTCATTTACCTTAGTTTTGGGAGTGATATAATTTTAATATATAATTTAATATATACGGACACCATATTAAATTTATATAGTGTATATAATTTTAATATGGTGTCCGTATAGAAATGAGGAAATGTTGATATTCTAAATGAAATTTGTTTCGTTTAGTGATTGCTTTCACAGAATAATTGCCGTTAGGTAAGGGAGAGTTTGAAGCCGAGCAAGCCATCGCATTGAACATTCAAGCTGAGGCCTTATTACTAAACTATATAAACAACGCATTCATATAAGCGTTTTTAGTGTGTGTGGACGTAGCTTAATAACTTAAAATGACTTAATGATAATAATTATGCTAAGTAGAAAAGAAAATAAGTACGATTTCAAGCAACATTAACAATGGCACACCTCAATACTTCACGATAGTTTTAGATATTTGCTGTGATAATAAGTGTTTTGGTGTTTTAACAAATCTAGTTCAAATAAGTTATGGGCTACTCATCTTCATTTTGAGCATCCACATTTAACTTATTTGTATCTAGTGTTATATTGAGAAACAATTTAAAACATTACTATTTCTCGCAGGTGTTTTTTGTTGATATGCCATAATTTTCATAATTCTTCGTCAAATTCAATGATTGAAATGCCATTTAAAGCTTGTATTTGCTGATATTTACGCAATATATATAAATACAATAAAGTTAGTGTCATAAAAAAACTCGTTTAAAAATGCTTTGTAAAGAATGTATGATAACGCCATCTATCGACAATTGGTTGGAATGATAGGGAAGTTGGCTAAAAAAATTATTCTCCAAAATAAGATACCTTTCATTGAAAAATACTTATTAACACATAATTATATAACAATTCTGTGCGAAAGTTTTAAAACATATTTCAACATTCTACGGCAAAAGAAAAGAATAGAATCGGATCAGCAATAAAATATTGCCAAATTTCTTGAATATTTTTAAACCTTTCTCTTCTTTAATTCAATGTTTTTCAAATCTTGTTCTAATGTCATCTCTTTGTAACATACTATTCTATATTCTACGATAACGCGAAAAATTGAGATGTGCCATTTGAATCGTTATAATAACTAATAACTACACTAATCGAAGTGAACGGTCCAACTGGATTGGTTAATGGTGGTGATGCTATAAAATGTATACAACCACCTTGTCAGGTGAAATTGGAAGACTGGACGGTGCATCTTCCGTCGTTCCTTCTGTCTCCTTCTCTTCTTTCTGCGAGGTGTCTTGCATTTCGAACGCTGAGAAGTCCGTTATGTCGAGCAGTTCTGAAACTAACGCGTCCGTAGTGGCGTCGATTGATTCGGCGGTATCGGATTGGTCTGTCTGCTGTGAAGATTCTTCGGTCTTTCCATCTTCATCTACAATGAGGGAAAGACTGAAGTCATCGTCATTTGTTACCCAAGTGTTGGACACGTTTGCAGAGTAATCTTGAGATGCGTCCGTGCTGGGTTCCGAAGTGTATAATGAACTGTCCAGTGTCTGTGTATTGTCTCCCACAAATTCTGTTCCTGTATTGGAACCTTCGATATAAGCGGTGCTTGTAACATCCGTGTCATTTATTATACCCATAAATTCTGTTTCTGCATTTGTGTTAGAATCTGTATTGTAATAATCTGTGGTTGCATCTGTCTTATTAGTTAGATCGAAGTTGATGAATTCAGTTGACATTTCAACTACTTCTGTATCTGTGTAATCTTCTGTTAGACTATCCGTAGTACTTTGTACTTCGCTCGGTGCTATGAAATCATCGATATCTTCCGTGGCACCGTCTCTCCCTTGCACATCTGTTGTTGAACCTGCCACTGTGCTAAAATCAAACTGGCGGTATGTGGTTTCTTTGAGCAAATCACTTTTTGTGTTCTCATTTGTCCCAGATAAGTTATTAACTGCTGTTGATGATTCTAAAACGTCAATACTATCACTTTGAGTGGACAATGGGCTTGTTTCTTTCGTTGTTTGCTCGTTCCCGTTCAAAACGATGTCATATAAAGTCAGCCCTTCTTTGGTTTCTCCTGTCCCATTTAAAATGGGACTACTTGTGCTCATTGTATTTGCGATCTCTTTAGAAGTCGATGTTAAATTGAACGCAGGTGCTGTGGTGTAGAAATGGTGGAAATATTTCTCTGTGGATACAACACCGTTGCTAGTTTCATCAACCGGCGTTTTTGTGTAAGCCAAAGCGTTCATTAGCATATCTATTACAGCGTTTCCATTTGAACTGCTTGTGTGTTCATCTCCGCGTGGAGTAGACCGTTTCGATACCTCTTCAACTGTCCGCACTGTATGATTATTGTATGGTACGAATTGGTAACTCGTTTCAACATCTTCTGCTCGACTGCTTGATGTTTCTTCCTCATTTTCTAAGTTGTCTGGCGTGGTTTGGCTGGTTGTGCTGGTAGAGTCAAGTGAAACGTCGCCAGTGTAATTATATCGTTCGCTGCTGCTCTCAGTTGAGGCTATTCCAGTGCCGAAGCTCGCGGCCGTCGTTCCGTCGTCGAACCTGGGGCTGGACTTTACGTACTTGGCAATCGCTGGGCCCAACGTGTTCTCGACGTAGCTTAGCAGCTTGTTGCACTTGTCCACGGTGTTCACGTCGTTGGAACTGCCCCATATAATGAAACCGGAGGCGTTCGACTTGTACAGCGTCTTGAGAACGGTTTGCAAGTCGATCTGAAATTGAAACAATACATGGATAGGACTTAATAAATTCTTTTTATATCTTTACATAGTATTAAACAGAGACGCTCACGATGTTTGTACGCTTAGATCTTTTAAACAACATAATTCAACGGATAACGCGATTTTTAGCAATAGATAGAGTGATTCGAGCGGTAGATTTACATGTAGTATGCATGCATATTATAAAGAGCCGAGAAATGTAATATCTTCATTGCACCCGTGTGAACTCGGGGCGAGTTGCTATTAAATTATATATACTGCGTATAAATATGAATATTTTGAGTATTTTTTTTTCTTTCTAGCACCCGCCATCTACTTTTCACCATGATAAGAGTTAACCGGCTAGAATTGCCACTACGAGTTAGGTCCATCGTAGCCCTTTGATTAAGGTGAACAAATAGGATAAATACATCTATCATAACTTATTTCATTTAAGGAAATTTGACACAAAAAGTAAACCACAATAAAATCGATTTGACAGATTTTTGAAAAATAACTGTAACTACACATTCTTTTTAAATCACCGACGTATTTATTAACTAAATGTTTAATTACGCAATTAACACAGCTCCGATACTGATTGATATCGTAATTAATTACCAATAATTATCTTTAACTGTACCCAAATGCCAATCAACTCGGATGTCCTATACAGATCCTCGCTCAGTTTCTTTTTAGGAAAAGAAGTAGTTATTCGTTCAGCTACCTGCTCCATCGGTGTAGAGCAACGAAATACATAAGATATTCTGCTGAAGAAATAGACATGCTTATGCGGAGAATTAACTCGTCGCCAATCAAAAATGTTTATTTTAAGTGTCGGCCTATCACGTGATAGTTCAGGCGTGAAGTAAAACGTAGGCAGGAAACCTGCGCATTTTTTACATAGTAACAAAAAGAAAATATTACGAGTGATGATGAATAATGGGCTATGTTATAATACCCGCTGTACAGAGGGGGCCATTGCCCAGAAAACCTGTGTGAAGTTAGAATATTTATATTATTTGGCGGCGAGGGCCGTAGGTTCGATTCTCACACGGGACGAGTATTTTCGGGACCCACAAACAATTCCGGATCGAGGTTTATTCGTGAGGAAGGAAGCCAAGAAACAACAATATGTAAAATAAAGGCCCCTTTGTAGTCAGTGAGGTAGGACGCTAATGCTGTCACTGGTTTGGGTTGGGGTTTAGTGGATTGTGATCCTTTCTCTCGCGCCAGAGTGTGGGTTCGATCCCCGCTGCTGGAGAAATAGTGTGTGATGAAACTGATGAACATAGTGTTATTCTGGTGTATGGTTGTTTTTATATCTATACAAATTGGAGTGTCTGTTTGTAATATTAAAATAACCGCTTTTTACTTTACCGGATGTATACACGGTACATATACCGAAATAATTTTTTTTGCAATTTTTATATGTCTGTCTGTTTGTTCCGGCTAATCTCTGAAACGGCCGGACCGATTTGGCCTGGACTTTCACTGGCAGATGTAATAAGGAGTAACTTAGGCCACTTTTAATTTTAGATTTTTTTTATTTTAAATTCCACGCGGACGAAGTCGCGGGCACAGCTAGTCCATAACATGTATTCATTTACAAAAACAATTCTATTTCAGTATGTTTATCAGTTGCGTAATATCTATACCACAAGTTCTGTTTAATTTGGGGCTAGATAGCGTTGTGTTGAAAAAACGTAACGAAATTAATTTACGAGTATTTCTGAGTTTCTTTCGTCGGTTCTTCACAGGCTTTTCTTTTCCGACCCGGTGGTAGCGTTTGACAATCAATAAGTAAGTGTAATGCATCTATATTGAATAAATATATTTGACTTATGGATATTTACTCATCGTGATTCTACTGCCTTTATCCCACCTGGGTGGCGGCACAACATTTGAATCATGTTGTAAGCGGTTTTGGCTATATGAACAATTACCTGTGGGTCACACAAATACTTGTCCCGTGTGGGAATCGAACCCACGAACCCCGACGACGAAGCCAGTAGCTTAGCAACATCGCCATGTAGCCTTATTTATATTTACCATTGTGTGAATTTGCTCCGTTGACAAACTGTTTAAAATAACAGTAAATCTAATATAATGTAATCTTGGAAATCTAACACCAATCTAATCTTTGATGTAAAATTTGACGATTCATAAGAGCGCGCAAGCGTCTATTTGAATAAATATATTTTTTATTTTGATTTTGATTTAACCCAACTTACCCAACCTCTAACAAAGTTCAAGAAATTGCGAATTGAGGAGTTGGAGCTATGCCCGAAGATACATACAAAACAAACACACAAACATTCGAATTCATAACCTGCCGTTTTTAGAAGTCGGTTAAACAACTCGTCCTCCGCATAAAGCCACCGCGGTGTTTTCCGCGCTGCTATCTGCCATCGCGACCACGACTCAACCGCTGGGACATCGTGGTCCCATTTAACATTCGAAAGAAACCCTCCTTATCGAAATGTGGGTAAACTTTGTGTAATATGACGGAAAATCACCCTACGTAGGTGTGCCGTGTGACTGTATCAATTTAATCAAAAACCTTTTTTAAATAGATTATTTATCGTACGGTGGGGTATAACGACCTCACAGTAGACCTAAGTGAAGTGGAAGTGTTATAAATAAATAAATAGATAAATATTTTAAGACGCATTGTTTTTACACAACGTTCTCTAGTCCGAAATTAAGCAACGCTTGTACTGTGGGTACTAGAAAACTGATAGACATACTTAAACATACTTTTCTTTTTGTAAATTAATACATATTATACATATATAAACACCCAGACACTAGAAAAACACTATGCTCATCGCACAATATTTTTCCAGTAGCGGGGATCGAACCCACACCCTCTGGCGCAGGAGGCAGGTACACTACCGACTACGCCATTCGAATCGTCAATTATACTTCTGCGTTTCGTCTAGTGAAGGTAGCCGGGGCTCACTTTATTATAAGGTGTTGCAAATGTCCATGGGCGGCGGTTATCACTTAACATCAGGTGAACCGCCAACAAGCTTGCCATCTTCTTACAAAATAATAACTTAATTTAAAATTTTCGAAAAACCATCGATAAATCCAAAAATTCAATGGACGCTTAGACGCAGATTCGAATACAGGGATCGTCGAAAATGTACGATGAATCATGTAATAAACTCATACTCAAGTGTCATTTTGAGTATAAACTAGCATTAAAACTGTGAAAGCATCCGTAGTGTTGCAGATGCGTTGCCATCTTTTAATAAAGTGGGCCACGGCTACCACACTCACCAGACGAAACGCAGAAGTGCAACACTAAAATAAATAAATCACAAAAAAAATCTATTTCAAAGTTATTGGAAAGGGCCTATTATAATGACGGGGAATACGTTGAGCACAAGGATGTGTGGAAATGACTCTTGCTCTGCACTAGCAAGTCTCCAGGCTCCTGCTAATTTTTTTTTCTTTTTTTAAAAAAATATTGCCCTTACTTTAGGAACATTATGCTGTGTTGTAAGGACGTTTGACAAATATAAATTTCACGCGGATAAACACCCAGATACGAAAGAACTATCTGTAGGTCACACAAATAGCTGTGCCGTGTGGGAATCGAACCCGCGACCCCCGACGCCGAAGCCGATACCTTGGCAACTGCGCCACGGAGTCATCATACTTAACTACTTTTATACTCAACTAATATTAATTATACTTGACTACTTTTGTGTATATACTCAAATAATGTATAAAAAAATATATGACCGCAGAGTTTCTTGCCGGTTCTTCTCTCGCAGGTCTAGTTTAGTGAGCCGGCGGTAGTTTTGGACGTTGAATAAGAGCTTAAAACAAGCCTAGGTGGAATGAAGAAACGAAAAGCACCTCGCTCAGGAAGCCGCCGTCCCGGTACCGGAACCAGAAGTAGGGCAGGACGGGGCCGCTGCTGCCGACCCTTGCCGCCTCCGCCACCCGGCCGCGGACCAGCGCGGCCAGCTGCTTCGCGCTCAAGCTCGAAGAGCTGTACACGGACGGGTAGAGGGCCGAGCTCTCCGACCACAGCCACTGTATCCTGCGACGAGAGCAATAACTGCTGGCCAAACGCCTCTTCTGTACAGAGGCTATTGGGCAGAGTCCACCACGCGGCCTCCGGATTGGCGGATTTCACTTTTCGAAATACATTTTTTTGTAATTATTTCGAAAATATGCAGGTCTCCTCGCGATGTTTTCCTTCACCGCTCAACACGCGATGCAGCACTTAAACTTAACAATTTCATTGGTGCCGGCACCGGGGATCGAACTCAGGTCGCTCGAGTATGTCGTATTAAAGGCGAGCACCCGGAAAGTGAGCTGTGAAGATGGTGAAAGATAGCTGCGAAGGTCAGCTGCTTTAACTGACTCCAACAACATGGGTGCATTGACTAGACCCTCAATGGACACAATCACATAAAAAACGCAAAACTCTAGTGACTAGAGTTACTTTTGCGTTTTTTATGTAAAAAACACGCACGCGCACACACAAACACACACGCACACAAGCGATTACAGGTGTGCGCGCCTTAGCTTGCATTACATTTTTGCATTTACAAACACATTGCTCGTAAACTGCTGAATTACTATTATATATTTAAACTGCAAAACGTAAATCCTTTCCTGGCTGTAAGTTAAGCGAATGTCACATACATAGATAAGAAGTGAGTTCTGTGAAATATCTTGCTCAATAAAATAAAAGAAAATAAAATAACAATAAAAAGTGCATGGAAACCCCCGGGCGGAAGAAATTAAACTTGGAGTGCCACGCATTCACTCTCGCTTTGTCTCTTTCTATTCCTCCACCCCAGGAGCGTTGAACGTTTAACGCAACAGTGTTTTCATATCCCCTCCATGGTAGTGTTAAGCGTTTAACGCAACCTTGTTGAAGCCGCATTAGAAGTTTCACTTCAAAAAGTCGCAAATTAGTTACTAGCGCTACGCTATCGCACTCACTGGTTGTTTTCCTTCATTACGTTGGCCGAACACTTCTCCAGGGGGTTGTTGGCGGCCATGTTGAAGCAGTACGGGAAACCGTAGTAGCCCCACAGAGCTTTGGGCCTCATCTGTTTCGCCAAGGAGATCGTGGTCTCCATGAAGACCCTCGCCGCCTCCTCGTAGCGCTTTCTCGCCTGGAAGTATATTGCATATTAATTTATTGCACTGTTTACTCACTGCTTTTCACTGTTTATAGCTGTTTTTTTTTACTACTATTTCCTTTTTCAATTTTTTTAATTTATTAACTCTTGTTTTAATTTTCAATTTTGTAACAAAAAAAAGTTCTTTAACCCTATTTTTTTCTCGCATTATATTGCATGCTGTCAGCGCCTTATTTTTAAATTCCTTAGTCTTAAATAGTGTGGTACATAATGCTGGCGTTCTTTAAATAAATAAATGAATAAATCTAAGAATTGCCTGTTTGTTAAAATTTGTAGAAAAAGTACCAAAAGATTGTCGCCGCTGTGGGAATCGAGCCCACGTCTTCGGCATTCGCGGCCTGACGCTTTAGCCACTTAGCTAAACGGCTGATTGCCACACCGACGCAAATCTTAAATGAATTTTAATGTTTAATCTTAAGTGCAGAGATAAGCACTATTAAAGTAAAAGTAAAGTAACAGTATACATGTCCCAATGCTAGGCAAACGCCGCCTCTGATCAGAGGACTTTACATATCTTCGAAATATTTTCTTGGCATTATTTCGCACGTATATAAGCACTATACAAAATTTTAATTGCCTGTTTGTTAACCGACTTCAAGAAAGGAGGCTCTATGTCCGACTGTATGTATTTATTTTGTGTGTCAATTACACGTAGATAGCTCAGCGTAGGGGCACTTGCTTTCAATTCAGCGTACTCTAGCGACCTGTGTTCGATCCCCGGTGCCGGCAACAATGAATTTTTTTTTTAAAACATTGCCCTTACTTTTGGATAACATTATCATGTGTTGTAAGGACATTTGTCAAACATAAATTTCATGTGTAGGACACCCAGATGCGAAACAACTATGTGTGGGTCACACAAATAGCTGTCCCGTCTAAGAATCGAACCCACGACCTCCAACGCCGAAGCCAATACCTTGGCAACTGTACCACGGAGTCATCACTTTAGCGACAATCACATTGACAATTTTAAGAGCTGAATTGAATTGAAAAAAATAAATAAAACGCGGGGTTGCAATGCGGCGCTGTGGCAACGAATGAAAAGTCTGAATGCATCAATCAGTCAGTTGTATTTGTATAGGATGTTACAAATTTGGTTTCTTTTTTATTTAATTAGTTTGTTGATTTATGGATTTATTAACGTTTTTGATGATTTATATTGAATAGAGATAAATATTTTTATTCAAATAAAAATATTTATCTCAATCCCGTAAATCTCAAGTATTACATTTTCGAAAATAATCACGCTAAATGGCTTGGTCGGAGCGATAGTAAACGATTGTGAAGCAATTTCGGGATTAAACTAGTTCAAATGGCTCCCGACTCTTGGTACACAATCTCCGTTACCGTTGGAATCTGGTTATTACTTTGGTTTAATCCGACTTGCGTACAGGAAATGTTTCATTCCTTTGATTATAAAGGAATGTTTAACGGTGGAATTGAAAAGGACATTTTCATAGACTCTTGAATTTCTTATGAAGGTTTCATATACAGCGTGCCGTTACCATCGCGACAATAAATGAACACACGTCTAACGCTACTTGCTACTAAATAATCATAAATAAATATTAACGTTAAACAAAATAAATAATTAAAAAAGAAAATATTTTTCAAACAAACTAATTAAGTAAAAAAGATATAAAATTTGTAACACCTATACAACTTGCGCCACAGCGTCATATTACAAGCCTCTCCTTCTAACAGTATGTTTTGTCTCTTTTAAATTCATTCAACCCATTCATATGCTTTGTGACCTTTACAAATGAACTTTACGTTACGCTTTTATAGGTAAGGGTGTTCTAAAATTCTTTGTTTTGGAAAATTTAATAACTCTGTAAATATTGATGTTTAAAGAATTTAAATGATTAATACAACTTTAAAAAGTTATCCCCTATATGTGTGTTTTTTTATTGTCGCGATGGTAACAACACGCTGTATATATTCACACAAAAACTGAGGAAGCCATGCAACAGTCTTCGCCGTTGCAAGAATGGGTAGGTCCGACCGGATAACTGTCGCGGCCTCGCGGAAGACCGTTGTGAGGTAGAAGTGTTACAGTTCTGCGTTTCGTTTGTTGAGTGAGGTAACTAGGCCCACTTTACTGTGAGGTGGCAGCGTATCTGCAACCCTACGGGTGTTGCAAATGCCAATGAGCGTTTATCACTTAAGATCACGCTAACCGCCTGTTCGTATGCCACCCTGTCACATAAAAAAGATTTTTATATGACATGGCCTATGACATGGAATAACTTTATCGTACAATACGCATAGTGGATAATGGTACCTTGTCACATTACTGTATAAACAGTGACATCGTAAACTTATTTAAATATGTTAAGAAATGTTTCTTAACTGCACTGTAAACATAGTTTGTTTATTGGATTATGATGTTGCGAAGAGGACGGTGATGAAAATATGAGTAAAACGTGTTCTGTGGCTTAGTGTTGGGATGTCTAATACCGATTTGAGGTCGTAGGTACGAATTTCGAGTTTTTCACAGGTACAGGCTCAATTGCGTTACGCCTGGTTATTTGATAACCTACTACGAATGAACGGAATCAAAACCCTTAGAGAACGTGTCGGCCACAGTCTTCTGGAAGTACACTGAGTGAATTTATGTCATGTCAGAACTGCGATTTGCAGATTATACGGGGTTTAAGGATCTGAATACATATAATGTCATGCCTAATCCCTGCTAATATTATAAATGTGAATGTAAGTTTGTTTGCTACGCTTTCAGGCCAAAATTATTAAACGGATTATCATGAAACTTTGTACACATATTCTTAGAGGTATTAAAAAGGACGTAGGATTATTTAAAAAAAATATATGTTTATAAAAAAATATATTTATGTAAGGGCTTCAACTTGACCAAAGCCGAGTGCGAAAAGCCAGTATTATATAAATGAAGAACAAAAGAAATAATAAAGGTTTATTGTAATATTTAGCTTGTTGTATTCAATTCATTGATAATAATTAACTTCTGTATTTTTTACTTTTTTATTTTAAATTTTTCTTTTCTACCTACCAAGTTTGCCTTTAGTCTCGGGTGTGATCCATCATCAATTCGAATGTGGTAGGGCCACGCAACAGTCTTCACTGTTGCAAACTATCACGACCCCACAGAAGACCGGCGTAAAGAAGAAGTGTTACATTTCTGCGTATCGTGTGGTGAGTGAGGTAGCCGGGGCCCACTCCATTTAAAGGTGGCAACACATTTGCGACCCTATGGGTGTTGCAAAAGTCTATGGGCGGCGGTTATTAAGTGATATATACATCGGGTTAATCGCCAGCAAGTCTGCCACTTTCTCACATAAAAAAAATATCTCTAACATGTGAACTGTCTCTACCGGCTATCTTTCGCAAAGTATGTTAATGACAACTTGCTTCTCATAATTCCCGTGCGTATCGGGAATTGCGAAACACGTCAAAGCAATTATAAACGAGTTAGTGCTCGGTTAAACAATTGGCGCTAAACGCACTCCCACTCACAACAATTAGAGTAATTGTTCATGATCATGTCATTGGGCACGAGACGGAGGTTATCACCGGGCGGTGATCATTAGGTCATACGATCAGGGATGAAAATATTCGTAGCACAAAACGCAGTCTGTACCCATCCCACCCCCAGCACAGTGTTACCAACAGTTCAAAGAAAATAATCCTAAAGCAATTCAAAGACCTTAGTGGGTCCTTGAATTGCTTTAGGAGTATTTTTATAATTCGCTAAATTCGAACCCAAACTCTTGAATTTACCTCCTCCTATATATTAATCCCTACTTCGATAATATCAGGTTTCCTCAAGATGTTTTCCTTCACAACTGAACACGGGATAAGTCAGCACTTAAAATTAACAATTTTATTGGTGCTGGCAAGGGGATTTGAACTCGGGTTGCTTGAGTATAATAACACTGAGCTATCACGTACATACATAGGCGGTGGTAACTACTAAACGCCAGGAAAAATATTAAACTTTTGAACCAGCAAATTTTCGAAATAATAACAAAAAAAATATTCAACAAAGTTCGCCAATCCACAGTGGGGCTGCGTGGAAGACTATGCCCTAATACTCTTGACAGAGGAGGCCTTTGGCAGTGGTACATGTATAGACTGTTACTTTACTTTACTTTTATGGACATAAACAAATTAATAAAAGCACATAGGTTTTTTAGCCACCTGCCTGACGTCAAGCCCCCTAGAGACCAAACGCCCAGATCCGTAACTGTTATCTATGGGTCACAAATTGTTCCGTGTGGAAATCGAACCCACAACTCCCGGCGCCGAATTTCATTAGCACAAGCACCGTTTACTCCAATCACTATACGGGACGCGAATTACAACATTCCTAATACGCGCTTGTTTACAGTGTTAGGTCCACGCAACAGCATTTACTGCCGCATGAATGATAAGGTCCGTCGGGGGTAGTACCACGACCTCACAGAAGACCGGCGTGAAGTAGAACTGTTACCATAGTAAAGTAAAGTAAAGTAACAGCCTATACATGTCCCACTGCTGGGCAAAGGCCTCCTCTATACAGAAGGTATCAGGGCATAGTCCACCACGCGGCCCCACTGCGGATTGGCGGACTTCACATATCTTCGAAAAATATTTTTATTTCTTTTTTTTTTTTTTTTTTTACCATGGGCGGCAGATATCACTTATTAACATCATGTGAACCGCCAGCTCGCTTGCCACCTTCTCACACAAAACCCTAGTTCACAATACCTCCTTTTACGTGCTGTCCATTCGTGCAATTAGCAATATACTGCTATGTAACATTTACAACATCATTTCGAATTCATCGGTGGTCATTAAATATTTAGAGCACGCCTATATAGAAGACCATTATGCGTGCCGTCTCTGATGAAATCTGCTGCCATGCCCAATCAGGGATTAATCGGGACAACGAAGAGCAAGTGGCCTTAATAGCGCCACCACATGCAATCGCATTGCAAATCGCTTAGTCGGCCCTTTGCGCGATATAATAGGTCGCGTCAACAGTCCACCTCGCTACTCTTCCCGTCCATGTACCATTTGTTTCGGTTAATCATAAAACCGGCCAAGTGCGAGTCGGACTCGCGCACGAAGTGTTCCGTACCATTACGAGTATCTATAAAAACGCCAGAAAAATTATGTGCGTTGTATGGAGCCCCAGTTAAATATTTTTTTACTCTTTTTTTAGTATTTGTTGTTATAGCGGCAACAGAAATATATCATCTGTGGAAATTTAAATTGTCTAACTATCACGGTTCATGAGATACAGCCTGGTGACAGATGAACAGACAGACAGACAGCGAAGTCTTAATATGGTCCCATTTTACTCCCTGGGGACGGAACCCTAATAAAAACGCAATCTACGGCGTCGATAGAGTGGGAAGATGGCTCATGAAGGCGTCGCCCTGAGCTTAATTATATTTTTAAGTAAGAAGACGGCAAGCACGAAACTTCGTCTGATGTTAAATGATAACCATTGCTCACGGACTTTTGCAGCACCATGGTGTTGCAGATATGTCGGTCTTCTATAAGGTCGGCTGGTTCGTGGTCTTGTGGATGAATGCCTCATTTGGAGATTTGAATCTATCGAGAAGAGCGAAGTTCACAGCACGTAATTCCCTACTACTATCATTCGTCGGTATTTACCTCGTCCTGTATCCAGGTCTTCGGCCACCACCAGTGGAGTTTCCTCTCGATGTCGTAAGACACATCCTTGTACGGAGTGAGCACCCCGAAGTTCTGCCTGAACACCGGCCTCCAGGACTCGAAGTCGATGATACCAACACCTGGAACACGATTACGAGCCTAATTAAATCTACAAACAAGTACTAATACTTTAAGCATTTACCGAAGGAATTTTTTGTACTAAAGGCAGTGAGGTGGTAGGACCTCAATACTATCGATTTACCCAAATGTATGTTCAGCGATTCTCAATGAATGGTTTTTTGTCAATAAATTTTGAATCTTGAAATGTTTAATATGAAATTAAAGAATGATTAGAAAACTAGGTTAATATGCTGAAAAGTGTAACAATAAACATGATGACTGCGTGGTGCCAAGGTGTTGGCTTCGGAGTCGGGGGTCGTGGGTTCGATTCTAACTATTTGTGCGACCCAAATCTCATTGTTACACAGTTCGTTGTTTCACATCTGGTTGTTTGTCCGCGTGAAATTTATGTTTGTAAAACATCCTTACAACACAGGATGCAGAATTTTATCTTAAGTAAGACCAATTACAAGTATTGCATAAATGAAATACTAAATAAAAAAAAGAGAAGTTTTAAATACCTACAAAACTTATAAAAAAAACTATGTTTTAATAGAGAACAGCACCTAAGCTACCCGAGTTTTTCCGAGCCGAGAAAATGGTACAGGCGTATAAAAACCTTATCTATCTCGCCCTTTCTTTATTCTGGTTGGCTGATAAATCGCTGCGATTTTTATGGGTATCATTAACTTTTTTTTCTATCGACTTGTTCAGTCGTACGTAGAAGGACCGTATATAAATAAGTACAAAATAATATATAATATATGTACAAAATAATAACAGCTAAAAGGCTTACAAGCTGTTTGAAGATATAAGTTTTGAGATGCTCTTTTTTGTGCAATAATCAATTATTCTAGACTAGTTTAGTGTCTTTCTTGAAATGCCTAAACTTAACTGTAAAAGTAAAGAAGTAACAGCCTATACATGTCCCACTGCTGGGCAAAGGCCTCCTCTATACAGAGGGTATCAGAGCATAGTCCACCACGCGGCCCCACTGCGGATTGGCGGACTTCACATATCTTCGAAAAATATATATTTTTTGTTATTATTTCGAAAATATGCAGGTTTCCTTACGATGTTTTGATGATGATCACGGAGCACGTGATAAGTCAGCACTTAAAGTTGAAAACTTCATTGGTGCCGGCACCGGGGATCGAACTCAGGTTGCTCGAGTCTATCGAATTAAAGGCGAGCGCCCGGACACAGCTATCACGGCTCTGTAGTCTAACTTATATTAATCGCGTAGTATCGTTTAGTATGGAATGCTTTATCCGTCAATACTCAGTGGGTCCGCGTGGTGGAATATGCCCTAATACCCTCTGCATAGAGGAGACTTTTGCCCGTCAGTGAGGCATATATATTTACAACAAATACTTGGCTTATTCTTACACAACATATACTTATAGTATAGTTATAAACTGTTACTTTTTAATTTACAACAATGGTATTATTATGAACTATTCTACTCCGTACAGTTGATTAAATTCTTGCTTTTGTAATTTTCAATCTATATAATTATTATCTATAAATTATCAATATTTGTTACTCTTTTTAGAGTTGGCAACTTGTCCGCAAACCCTTGTGTCAATAGTTCCATGGGCGGTGATAGCCACTAAACATTTCACATGAAAATAAAACCTGGTCTTGAGTATAAAACTCGCATGCGGTAGCAATCTTCCTACTTTTTAGACATCTGAGTAGATCACATCACGCCGAGGTCAGTGAACTATTGCGAGATCAGATCTGCCCCTGCGACATTCGCGTTCCTCGTAATGTGGCGTCAACACTTATCTGTAAGTCGCAGAATCCGACACCCTGCAGATTAATAAGGAGTCAGGGTCAATGTATTGAGGAGGGGAATTTTATGGAAGCAAATTTAATAATCCTAATGATGTTTCACAACATAGACGACGCATGTCCACACTGCGTGGCGTTTGATAACTGTTCCGCTTTACATTATATTACATATATAAGGGAATGTGACAGATTTTTTTTTATGTGAAAAGTTGCCAAGGTAGCAGACGGTTCACCTGATGTTAAGTGAATACCGCCGCCCATGGACATCCGCTACACCCGAGGGTTGCAGATGCATTGACAACCTTTTGAAAATTGGGCTCGGGCTACCTCACTCACCCGACGAAACGCGAAAGTACTATACTTCCACTTTGCGCCGGTCTTCTGTGAGGTCGTGGTATGGTGGATGATATAGAACGTAGAATACGGAAGGAGATAAAGTCTATAGAATTACACCAACTGGTGTAATTTGGGTGCCTCAGTTTCGTCCACAACGCGACCCCACTGAGGATTGGCGGACTTCGGACATTTATCTTCAAAATATATTTTTTAATAATATTTCGAAAATAATGCAGGTTCCCGCTCGATGTTTTCCTCCACCGCTGAGCATGTGATAATTCAGCACTTAAAGTTAAAAACTTCATTGGTGCCGGCACCGGGGATCGAACTCGTGTTGCTCGAGTATATTGAATTAAGTCGCTCGGACACTGAGCTATCACGCCGTTATTGTAGCTTAATACAATTCAATCATAATCCACGACATAGAATTAAAAGTTACTTAGCTTGCTTTAGTAACTAATGGTATTATAGACAAAAACGACGTATATTGTATATGACAGTATCGCGCCGAAATTAACAGTGGTAGGGCCACGCAGCAGCCTCGGCTGTTGCACGAATGGGCAGGCCCGTCCGGGTAAGTACCACGGCCTCACAGAAGACCAGCGTAAAGTGGAAGTATGACAAATACTTTCGCGTTTCGTCTGGTGAGTGAGGTAGCCGGAGCCCAATTTTCAAAAGGTTGTCAACGCATCCGTAACCCTCGGGTGTGGCAGATGTCCATGGGCGGCGGTATTCACTTAACAGCAGGTGAACCGTCTGCTGATTTGACAACTTCTCTGATAAAATAAAAATAATTGGAGGCACTCAAATTACGGCAATTGTTGTAATTGATTAATCTTCCGTATCATACGTTCTATGTCACAAAGTATATATATATATATAGGCCCAGTAATTAAGTAATTTAGTCAATGAAAATGTTAAATACTTAATCATTGTATTCATTTACATATTTTATCATAATGCGAACGCAATTATAGCGAGTACCAATTTTTATCATAAAGCGACCGCAAGCAACTCGCTGACATATTTAACTGTTGGCATGGTAATCATTTTAACGACATATAGGTAATCACGACATTAATAACAAAAAATAAACTTTTAATTTGAAATTCTAGCAACCTGCCCCGGCTTCGCGCGTGTACAATGTATTATAGGTATATCTATATATAAACCTTTTTTTATATGAAAAGTTGCCAAATGAGCAGGCGGTTCACCTGATGTTAAGTGAATACCACCGCCCATGAACATCTGCTACACCCAAGGGTTTGCAGGTGCGTTGACAACCTTTTGAAAATTGGGCTCCGGCTACCTCACTCACCGGACGAAATGAGAAAGTATTATACTTCCACTTGAAGAGAAGACTGGCGTGTCTTCTGTGAGGTCGTGGTAATTACCCGGACGAGTCTGCCCATTCGTGCAACAGCCGAGGCTGCTGCGTAGCCCTACCACCGTCGAAAAGTCAAACCTTCCTCTTGAATCACTCTATCTAGTAAAAAAAACTGCATCAAGATCCGTTGTTTTAAAGATCTAAGCATACATAGGGACAGACAGACAGCGGGATGACTTTGTTTTATACTATATAGTGATAATATGCCTAAGGAACATGTAGCTTTTATTCAGTGAAACAAGTCTTCGCTGTTGCACGAATGGGCAGGTGCGTCCGGGGTACCACGACCACACAGAAGACCGGCGTGAAGTGGGAATGTCATACTTCTGCGTTCCGGTGAGTGAGGTCGCCGGGCCCTTTATTATAAGGTGGCAACGCGTTTGCATCCCTACGGGTGTTGCAAATGTCAATGGGCGGCGGTTATCACTTAATGTCAAGTGAACCGCTCGCTTGCTACCGTCTCACATAAAAAATCAAATGTTTTTCTATGAAACAACCAAAGAAACTTTACGTACGTAAGCATACAAAACTGCCAGCCTGTTTGTCGCTTAGCGGACAATAACAATGGGAGGACAGGCTGGGTTCGAATCCACAGTAAAGTTTCCATTGGCGCGGCCTTGCGTAATCTGTTTGTTGCTCTCCGCGATTTGTGTTTGACACGCGCGTTAATGACACAACATTGGACGCTGTATCGGGCACGGCTGATAAAATTACGTATTACCCATAACCGACTGCGCAATTTTCAACTCTAACTATATTGATTGTCTATGTTGATACGTTCCTAAACCAAAAGAATTGAAATTGTTGTTATGATGTGTAACACAAATAATGCCATATATGTAATCTACTCTCAAACTAAGCAAAACTTATTCTATGGGTACAAAGTAAATGATATACGTACTTTACCATAATTGTCTTTCATAAGTCTCATCTGTTCATTAAATGGATACTATATATTTCTATAGTATACTGTATACAGTAAATACCGTATTTTTAATTTATATTTATATACTGTATAGAGTAAATACTGTATACAGTATTTTCTTTTAGAACCGCGATAGCTCAGTGTCCGGGCGCTCCGCTTTTAATTCAATATACTCGAGCAGCCTGAGTTCGATCCCCGGTGCCGGCACCAATGAAATTGTTAAGTATAAGTGGCGAATTATTACGTGCTCAGCGATGAAGGGAAACAGTGGAGGAAACCTGCATATTTTCGAAATAATAACAAATAAAAATGTTTCGAAGATAGTGAAGTCAATCAATTCGCAGTGGGGTCGCGTGGTGGACTATGTCCAACAGTGGGACTTGTATAGTGTTACATGCAGAGTCTGCAATGCGATTGTGTTTGCTCAAGCGTGGGCAGTGACACAATCGTGACAATATCGCTTTGATTGTATGTATTTCTATTTACATACGTGTTATTATTACAAAGACGAGTTGAATCATCAACAAAGTTAATTGTTTGTCCCTTTTTTTACTTTTAAGTTTATTGAGGCATTATACAGCTGTAATGCCACCAGAACGAATCTGATCAGGTGAAAAAAAAGCCCAAATTTTACTAAATAAATGGAACTTTCGTGTGTTATATATGTAGATAAGTATATGGTTTTGCTATGGTATTATATATTGCTCAGCGGTGAAGGAAAACATCGTGAGGAAACTTGCTTACTTTCGAAATAATACCAAAAAGATATTAAAAACATATGTGAAGTCCGCCAATCCGCAGTGGGGTCGCGTGGTGGACTATGGCCTGATACCATCTTTACAGAGGAGGCCTTTGCCCAACAGTGGGATATTTATTGGCTGCTACTATCCTATATGGTTTAACTGATGGTGTACTGTGGAAAGGGTCACAAAAGGCAACTGAAACTCACACAAAAAAAATAAATTTCACGCGGACAAACACCCAGATGCGAAACAACAACTGTGGGTCGCACAAATATATCTCCCGGGTGGGAATCGAACCCGCGACCCCCGACGCCTAAGCCAATACCTTGGCAACTACGCCACGGAGTCACCAAATATCATCTGGGTTATAGGACGACTGTACGATAGCACATCACGTATACCGTATGTTACGTAACTGTGGTAGGGCCACGCCAGTTTCTGCCGTTGCACGAATGGGCAGGCTTGTCCAGGTAAGTACAGCGACCTCACAGAAGACCGGCGTGAAGTGGACCGGATCTCACTTTTTAAAGGTTTTAAACGTATCTGCAAGCCCTCGCGTGATGTAGATGTTCATGAGGCGGTGACAACAGGTGAATGAATATTTATTTAGTTTCAACAAACACAATTAAAACATATTAACTATATATAACTAAGGCATGAAACCAAATAGGTATGTACTTCGAACTATTTACCGATTTTGAGTACATACAAAAAAATTTAATTATAAATAACAAACAATATTACACAATAGCTACTAATAATAACACAAATCTGGTACGTTATTTCAAAGACAATAACACAATAACTACCAATAAAAATTAACATCTATAAGAATGAACCAGTGAACAGAAAAACAATACGAACATCAAAATGTCCTCTAAGAAAACACCAAAGCAAAAATACATAAAATACGTGGGCTGCACTAAAAGTTTCCGGAATGAATAAGAAAAAAATACTATTAAACAATAGTAAAATGAATATTGTTTCTCCCAACATATTCTCCCTTTGTGAAACAAAGTGCATTCTACAGCCAAACAGTTGCATTTTAAAATGTTGCAATTAGTTTTTAAATATTGTTTATGTAAGTGGCCAATTCTGGAAACTTTTAGTGTGACCTAATGTACACTGCATATAAAATATAGACGTATTTTAGGTGCACCGTAGGGTTGCAGATGCGTTGTCACCTTTTAACAAAGTGGGCGCCATAACAAAATTTTAGGTGCATTTTACTTGAGGCTCAATTTCCTGATGAAGTTTACGATGCACGGTCTTAATACATGGCTACATTGAAGAATGCGACAGAACATTAGACAAATATAGTTTTTAAACTAGGCAAGTCATACATTTTAAATGCTCAACATGCCTCGTTATCAGCTCCGATAATTGTTTGTTTTAATTACACGCTCATTAGAAACGGAAGTCGCAATTGGGGATTCGGGTCGTACGATTGGTGTTGCGCTAGATTTTATTTTGACTGTTTTTTTGCGGCGCCTTCTTATGTCGGCAAGTTGGCTAAAATGCCAAACAGCCTTATTAGACATAGAGTCAAGCTCTATGTGTGAAGTTCTGTTGACATTTGGCCTTTTTAAATACGACAAACGATCCAGAACTTTTTAACTGGTGTTACGCTTTCAGTCCATACACTATTAAGGCTTCATCGAACGCAGAACCGGTCAGTTAGCCAGAAACCACGGGTTTGAGGCCCTCCTCCGTGGGTAGGGCCGCGCATGTACTTATGCGTGTGTTAATTATGCCATATCGCCTACGGGCCGTCGAGGTTCGTTGCGGACCGTGACCCTTCAACGCATCTGGAACCCTCGGGTGTAACAGATGTCCATGGGCGGCGGTATTCGCTTAACATCAGGTGAACCGTCTGCTCGCTTGGCAACTGTTCCCATAAAAAAAAACCCGATGACCGTTGACTGTGCTTGTTTAGTCGGTGGCTGGGGGAGGTTAGACCTGCCCTGGAACGCGGTTGTACCTGTAAAGTGTACTATCCAGAACGAGTATAAGTTAGCAGAATTGTTTTTTTTTTATAAATAGCGGCCTTGTACGATTCATTTAATAATAAAAAGAACGAGAAGTCACCATCATCCTTCTGCCCTTATTTTGTGGTATTGGTTAGGTGTCTTTTTGCCGTCAATCCGGAACAATTATATGTTGGTCTTACAAATACATGTCCCGTGTAGGGATTGAACCCACGACACCTGGCACGGAAGCCGATAGCTTAGCAATTGTGCAAATAGAGACACCGTATGTTACTTGACAGCACAGATAGACGATTACTAACAGTTACTATGTCAAATATGACAGTTTTGTTTCTCCGACCGATGAATGAGGTATCAAGGGAGATTAGTCTGTGTGAAAAAAATATAACAGTGCATCATTTTCAGACATTTAAAATAAAATTTTTTGTCGCGAAAATTATGGTAAAAAAAAAACAAACCTAAAAATAAGTCTGCATACAATACCATAGTACATAAAAACGTGACATAATTATAGTAAAAAAATATTCGCTCACTGTAAAAATAATTTGTAAAACCATAGCCCTGATTTTTTTCATTTTCTATTATACTGTTTATATTTAAACGTACCATGTGTACGTGTTTAAATATTGTACCTCAGAAATAATTTTAAGATAAATGTTGTATTGTGTTTACTTTCAAGTTTTAAGTTAAATACATATGGTTATTATTTAAGTTTTGTATATCGTGTTTAGTAGGTAAGCCTATAATATAATACTAAAAAGCAAACTTTATCTATCTTTATATTCGTTTTTTTTATTATATTTATGCTTATGGGGTTTTTATTTTATTTACCTGCCTTAGTGATTGATTTCAAAAAGTTACCTCTTTATTGCTGGCGTGGCCTGACAACTGACCTGTTACTGTGGTAGGACCCCGCAACAGTCCTCGCTGTTCCAGGAACGGACAGGTCCGTCCGGGGAAGAACCTCGAACTAACAGAAGACCGGCGTGAAGTGGTATTATTATACTGACCGCAACCCGTCTGGTGAGTGAGGCAGCCGGGGCCCACTTTTTTAAAAGGTAGCAACGCATCTGCATCCCGTTCTGCATCTCGTATGCTACCTTTGCGCAAGTAAAAAAAACAAAACGTTTAAAAAAAACTGACCTGCGAAATCCACGTCCGGTATGCTTTGCTCCATCGTCAGCCGGAAGGCCTCCAGGTGCTCGTTAATGTTGCCCTCCTGGGGCACGCCGCCGTTCCTGAACCTCAGCTTCCCGCTGCTCTCGTTCTTCAGGAGCGCGGGGAATAGACCGGGGTCGTACAGAATGGATATCTTCTCGCCGCGGAAGCGGTCTTCTGCGTTCTGGATGATGCCGTACCTCTCGTAGAGGCCTGAGAACGGTATTCTCTTCGAGCGGCATTGCATCGTGGGCACGTTCCAGTAGACGCTGAAGGTCTTCTGTTGGGGCTGGGCTCTCGTCGGCGGCGCGTCCTCGGGCATTTCTATCACGTAGTAGTTGTTGCTGTTGAACGGAAATGGAGTGTTGAGTTGAATGACCCGAAATATACTTTATGATACTGAGTGTCTTTAAACAACTATTTCGTAACGAAAAACAAGATCGACTTGTATTCATTTTACAATCGATTTTCAGAAGTTCCCTACGTATCTCTGGCGCCCAAGATCCAATACCAATGAAATTAATATGGTTGCTTTGGTATCTTTCAAATAATGGTATCTTTCAAATAATGGTATCTTTCAAATAATGGTATCTTTCAAATAATGGTATCTTTCAAATAAAAAAGAATCATCAAATTCTGTTCACTGTCACAGTCGAATTCTACACAATTTTTTAACAGCATAGCTACTTCCATACTACATTACACTACTGCTACATTAACAGTCATTACTACTTCCGGAGACCATGGATACTGTTTTAAACGTTGACGATTAAAAAATAAAACACAACGTGGTAGAATCCATACAAAAGATTTTCTTAACAACGTAAGATGTCTGGTTATCGTTGTTACAGAATTTACATTGCGCGTTTTGAATCTTTTGAGCTATGTTTAATACAATATAAGCAATCTCAAGACAATTATCGGTACCGGCACTAATGAAATTAATTTATTTTAATTAATTTATTTTTATTAATTAAATTAATTTATTTTATTAAGTTAATTTTAAATGGTGACTCATCACGTGCTCATCAGTGAAGGAATACGTCGTGAGGAAACATTCATATTATCCAAATAATAACAAAAAATATTTCGAAAACATGTGAAGTCCGCCAATCCTCTACGCCCTAATACCCTCTGTAAACCTTTGCCCAGCAGTGGGACATATTTAACCATGACATATGCTGAAAAATGTTCGAATCATCGGAATTAAAAACAATTAAATGGTACAAAATCTGTAATATAATTTAATTTCTCATAATATTATATTTGATATCATTTGCGTTCCTTGCATCCAGCAAGCAATAAAAACGCGTTACACATGAAACGTAAGTCATAAGATTACAGTCAAGCCCATAGGAATTGTTGGTATATATGTTGGTATTGCGAACTCTATATTTAATTAAGCTAATAGTCCTTAAGAGTGAAGAAATAGAAGTAGACAGATTTTTAGAACATGGCAAAAAGTAGGAGAAATCGAGCTCCATGATTTTTTAAAAATTGGTCAAAGGACTCTTTTAGGTATTAAGGCATGGTCCACCACACGACTCCACTGCGGATTGCGGGGACTTCACATATCTTCAAATTATCATATTTTTTAAACTATCATTTCGAAATTATGTAGCTATCACGACTCTTCTATTCTAATGGAATCTCGTTTTGATACATAATTAAAATATTATCGTATACACATTATTATTAAGCTCGTTAATTCTAATAGCTTTAAAGGTCAAAAGTTATAGATATTCGTTAATTTATTTTAAAATCTGGTGGTTTCAGGTAATTAAGGTTACTTATTAACAAAATGTTATAAGGACATATTATATACGTCAGTACATCATGACTTTCTTAAACAAAACAATGGAACATTATCATTAATGTTACAATGAGAACATTATAATTGAATATAATATATTCGTTTAGTGTATTTAGATCTTAGTATTTAAGTTTATCATTTGCACCACCGTTGTCCAAAATATTGTACTTTTAGCCACAAGGTTGTCTGGAAAAGATCGCTTTTAGCGACAAGACCGCGTTTTTGTTACTACCTTATAAGTTATTTTTGTAACATCTCTTTTATATGTTTATGGTGTTCAATAAAGCATATATAATAATGTTCCATTGTTTTATTTAAGAAAGTAATAAGCTTTACGGCGTGAGATAAAGAATAATAACATAAAATGCCTGCCATTGCACATACGCTTTATTTAAAAAGAAAATCACTGTTATAACAAGTCTCAATTTAAAAATCGATCCCATCTAATAGCTTTTATTACAATTGACCAGTATTCTAATAAAACTGTTGTTACGACATCAACAAATAGGGTGACCGTTACAGATATTAAAAATCCATCCATTTTAATAGTTGCCCATTAAAGAGCGATGAATCAAGAGTGACAAGTGACATAACACTATCCGCGCCTTAAATAACGTCATCTTGACAGTGACATACGAGAAGTTCCCGCGCGCGGGTCATCGGACCGAAACGACGCGGGCAGGGTTACCATTTTATTAGATCCGTATAATAATATAGCGAGATTAACATTTTTATTTTTTATTTCGACATATTATTGTAATGACTCATTGACATGATTCATCTCTAGATATAAAAATGAAACTCTGAATGTGTTGCTTAGCGCAAATCTCGTGAACAGCTGAACCGATTTCGCTAATTCTTTTTTTATAATATTCCTTGAAGTACCATAATGGTTTTTATGGAGAGAAAAATTTTAATCATTGCCTGAAAAAGTCTAAAAACAATATTTTTCTATATTCCCATACAAAAGATTCTTAAAAGTCAATTTGAACTTTAATATCATACCATAAAGTTTATTTATTAGTGGAGGGGTTCCGGGAAGGCAAAGCAATTGAGTGAAGTTCGTATCGTACAAATATTAATGTCAATATTTGTTAATATTTATACGATACTAACAGTACTCAAAAACAAATTGTCTATGGTAAAACGTAAATTAACTATGGTAAAATGTCACTTGGAATGTAAACGTTTCTTTGCTGTGCATCACTACATAGTATAAAACAAAGTCATCCCGCTGTCTGTTTATCCGATAAACAGACAGCCATTCAAGAGATACAGTGAATCAAGAGGAGCAATCGCTAGTAACAAATAATAAAATAATAATAAATAATCATTGCCATACAGCTAAAAGTCTCAAATAAAAAACGAGTTGGTTCACACACTTAAATAAAACAATTTAAATATACATACATACCACTCTATGTGAAAGTAGAATTTTTTATTATTAAATACAGGGAAGCTCGTAATATGAGTCGGGCAACCCGTAACTCGAAACACAACATAACCTATATTTTGATGACGCTTGGTCTGGCCAGCTCTCTTGACAACAAGAGCTTTATGTTCCTTCGAAGTTTATTTGTTTTGAGAGCAATAAAACTTTTGCGTAAATCGACTCGACAGTTTTGCGCTTTAAATGTTTAAAAATAAATAAACCCCTTATGGTAGGACCTAACAATAGCAGACTTCAAAAATGCACTTTATTATATGAAACCAAATGTCACCAAATGCTTCTACAACGAGAGTTTTGACTACTGGTAACTTAAATAAAATATAATAAATAAGCTAAAGCACTTTGTCTCGTTCAATGTATTAGCAAACTATTAGAAAAAAAAGATCTACGATGCTTGCTTAGGAATTATTAATAAATTTTCTAAATCGGACAAACACTAAATTTTTTGTCAATGCAATAGTTATATTTCTATATAAATTGTAGATGACAGATGACTTGCATGGAAAAACTTTGAAGTTAACGAATTTGTATTTAAATTGTATAAATTATGCTACCATGTTAAAAGAATTCTTACAGTCAAATCATTGATTTCAAACGAAGACGCTTTATTTTGTCAGTTTTATAATTCGTTTATTATCTATGTCCGTTATATTTTAGTTTATTAATTTTCAAGACTGATTGGCTTATTAGTCAAAAATAAATCTGAAAATGATGCTAAGTACAAGAAGCGTCAGGGAAATTAAAATAAAATTAAATGGTAAGGCCACGCAACAGCCTCGGCTGTTGCACGAATGGGCAGGCTCGTCCGGGTAAGTACCACGACCTCACAGAAGACCGTCGTAAAGTGGAAGTATAATACTTTCGCGTTTCGTCTGGTGAGCCCAATTTTTAAAATATTGTCAACGCATCTGGAAAAATATGGCTGGACATATGCACACAAAATTTCACGAAAATCGGTCGAGCCGTCTCGAAGTAATTCAATTACAAACACCGTGACACGAGAAATTTTTATATTAGATTGCATCAATCAGTTGAAAATAAGAAGGGTCCTGACGAACTGAGTAACAATTGATGTTTAATCAATTACTTGTTATTTAGCTGTTGTTAGTTCCGTTTGCTTTAAATACACAATAATAGAGATTTTATCATGAATATACATTTGACAGGCACATGTCAATTGTTTTTACAGTAAATGAGTCAACATCTGCAAACAGCCTTGCCTTATTGATAGGTCTGTTTAACAAGATTGCAAACGAACCGTCTAAAATAAATCTTAGCTTCTAAAAACGAGTCTATAGAAGTAGAAAGTAGTGGGGAAACTAGGAATTTCTCCTTTATAACTAACGTCTGTCTGTATGTCCGTTTGTCACCAGGCTGTATCTCACGAACAGTTGAAATTTTCACAGATGATATAATTATGTTGCCGCTATAACAAAAATTACTAAAAAAAGCTATGTCCTATGTCTTACTAAATTAACACCTTTAAGAATATGTGTACAAAGTTTCATGATAATCGGTTGAGTAGTTTGGGAGTGAAAGCGTGACAAACAAACCTACATTCACATTTACAATTTTATATTATGTATGTATATTTGATAATTTCTAAATATTAACTGACATGGGCTAAATTATCAGGTAACAAATCCTAATAACGAACCTCTCTTTAAAAGAGGCAGTTATAAAATTTTATAAGAATGACAATCTTTATTCTTATTTAAAAAGATTTATTGAAAACGGTAACATTTGATACTTCGTATATTATATCAGGATCAAATGTAAACCAATTATTTTCTGATATCCTATATATAATAACGGTCTATATAATATGTATGTGTAGTTATCGAGTGGAGTCACTATTAAAGAAATCCAATTCGTCATGCCAGAAAAAGAGTACCAAAGAAACACGTTCCCTCTAAAGCCATTAAATGCGAACGAACGTATGAAAAAGAAAACCGTAAAGAGTTTTTAACCGGGAACCTGATTGCACACTTTATTGTTATTGGAGCCTTAGATAAATTAATTTTGTCCACTATGTCCAGTTTGTCTTTGATTTAATACAATTTAGCAGGTTTCTTTTACTT